TTTATAGATGGTCACCAGGTCCCCCCTCAGCCTTCTCTTGTGAAGGCTAAACAGGTTCAGGTCCCGTAGCCTCTCATTGTAGGGTCTGCCCCGCTGTCCCCGGCTCATGCAAACCCTCCTCTGGACCCTCTCAATGTTGTCCACATCCCTCTTGAAGTGGGGTGCCCAGAACCGGACACAGTACTCCAGCTGTGGCCTGACCAGTCTCACATAGAGGGGGAGGATCACCTCCTTGGCCCTAACTTGAGATGCACCTGTGGATACACGATAAGGTCCGGTTAGCCCTGCCGACCGTGACCTCGCATTGTCGGCCCATGTTCATCTTGGAGTCAATGATGACTCCAAGATCCCTTTCTGCCTCTGTGCTTTCAAGAAGGGAGTTTCCCATCTTATAAAAGTGTGCTGCTGGTTACTACTGCCCAAGTGCAGCACCCTGCACTTGTCCGTATTGAAACGCATCCTGTTTTTGTTAGCCCACCCCTGCAACCTATCCAGGTCTTGCTGCAGTCTTTCCCTCCCTGCCAACGTGCCCACCTCACCCCAAATTTTGGTATCATCAGCAAATTTAAACAGGTTGCTTTTCACCCCATCGTCCAAATCGCTGATAAAGAAATTGAACAGCGTGGGCCCAAGGACAGAGCCCTGGCGGACTCCGCTGCCCACTTCCCCGCAAGTCGAATATGACCCGTCCACCACCACCCTCTGAGTACGACCCTTCAGCCAATTTGCAATCCATCTGACTGTGTAGGCATCAATGCCACAGTCGCCTAGTTTTTTAATGATGGGGTGGTTGACAGTGTCAAAGGCCTTGCTGAAGTCCAGAAAGACTGCATCCATGGCGACACCTGCATCCAGTGCTTTTGTGACCTGATCGTAAAAGGCAATCAGGTTGGTCTGACATGACCTGCCCCTAATGAAACTGTGCTGGTTGCCCTTGAGCATCATCCCTGATGCCGGCCCATCACAGATGTGCTCCTTGATGATCTTCTAAAAGAGTTTCCCCAGGATTGAGGTAAGACTGACGGGCCTATAGTTGCCCAGGTCCTCCCTCCTCCCTTTTTTAAAGATGGGGACCACATTGGCTATCTTCCAATCATCTGGAACCTGGCCCGAGCACCAGAAGCGCTCGTAAAGCCATGCCAAGGGCCCTGCAATAACCCCTGCTAGCTCCCTCAACACCCTGGGGTGGAGAGCATCTGGACCTGCTGATTTGAACACTTCAGCCCCTCCAGAAGTACTCTAACCCAGTCCTCCTCAACCTTAGGTCTGGAGGCGTTCCCCTTGAGTCCGTCTTGAATCATGGTGGGGGAGTCCCGGTCCCTGCACAAGAAAACGGAGGTGAAGAATTTGTTAAAGAGGTCTGCTTTCTTCTCTGGCGCAACTACCAGATTGCTCAGCATATCTTGGAGGGGCCCCACATTTCCCGGTGCCTTCTTCATCCTCCCTATATATTTGAAAGAGGACTGTTTATTATCTTTGATTCTAGTCCTAGCTCTATGTCCGCCTTAGCTTAGTTAAACATAGTTAAATTGGTACAAGTTTCTACTGTAGACACCTGAAGACTAGGGACAGAAGTTGTACGTAAATTGGTTTAAGTCATCAGAAACTGATTTAAACCTGCAACAGAACAGAAGTTCAGTGCACATAAACTAATTTCAACTGGTTTAAGCTAAACCTGGTTGAATGTAGTATGATACCTAACTGATTTGGGTCAAACCAGTTCATGAAACTTATGTCCCAGACCCCTTCCTGGTTCAAGTTAAGTCAGAGTTCTCCAGCATATCCTTGTACACTTTCCATCCCTGGGCTGGGCTGTGCTGTCTTCTCCAGCAAGAGAAGGGTTGAGGAGGGCAGGCACAGACTACATTCCCCCCTCTCCCTGCCCCTCCCTGCCCCAGGCAAACTATGGCTGGGGTCTGGGGCCAGGGAGGGGAGTTAAACTTCCCTTTCCCCAAGTACAGAGCTGCCCTGCCCTACTAAAAACTTACTGTTGACTGCGACTGTGGAATACAAATCCCAGAAAAACCTGGAAGCAGGAAGAGGAACTGATGAGGAGTTCTGCAGAGTCCTGCTGCTCTGATTCTGGACTGCAAATCCCAGAGACCTCAGGGGCAACAGGAAAAGGAAGTGAACACACAGGCCATGCTAGCTACATACCAGAGAGTCATGGTCTAGCACTCCCCCAGCTTCTGGTATGTGGCTGCATTTCCTGAATCAAAGTGAATGACTGTCCAGTTGTTTCTCAGTTTAATCTGTGCAGTTTAGACTAACCTGCAAAAACTGAATCAATTCAGCCTTGGGCTTTTTGACTTTCTATACTTAGCCTACATGGCCGCATTCAGATGTGCAGACACGTGTGGTTTGTGATGCCACAAACTTCTTTGTGGTGCCACAAACTGCATGCTCAGAACATTAAAATGTGCCCTGCACTGCAAATTTGCAGCACGGGGGCAAATTTTGCTACCAGGAAATCCCAGTAAAGCTTAATTCAGTAACTCACAGGAATCTGATTTCCATGATGTTGACAGAGTCCATGTTACTTTATGAGAACAAAGATATTTTACAAACAACCTAACCTCTTTGAGAAAGATGCATCTTTAAATGGGATTCCTTTTTAAGATCCTCTAAAAGTCCCTAAGGAAGAATCGCCTTTTACTATTATTATAAATGCACTGCGTTTTTAGTGCATCATTAATGCATTAGAATAAAGAGATGCTTTAGGAACAGAAGTATGAGTACTGCTTAGAATTAATACATTTCTAGTGGGATTTCTTTTCTTATGAAATCTTAAGATGCTTCCTTCCTCTCCAGTTATTTTTAAAGCTGTTCCTGTAGCAACAATTTTTGGCAGTTAAAGGTCCAACCCATGTACAGTTCTGGGCTGCAAACAATTTGCGCATCTCTTCAACTATAGTTAAGGCAACACAATACCGTAGCATGGGCATAATTATACCCGTGTAAAGGTGTTTATAGCAGGACAGAAGAATATATTATGCCAAAATAAACATCTTTATAACAGTGTAAAATTACATCTGCCCAAAGGCATTGCACAGAAATACCTAAATTACACAATCTTTCTGTAACATAACCGTAAAAGCCAGTGTTCTCTATGATGACTATTTCCAGAGGAATTATTAACCATCTTACAATTAGAGCATAAGAGATATTAAAAATATTTAAAATACTTTTTTTCCATACAAATACTAGTAATGTAAAAGCGCGCCCTCCCTGGTTTTGTTATAGAACCATGGGACATTATAAGGGATGTTTTATTGTCAGCATCGACACCCTAGCTGAAGGAATGAGGTTGGTGAATGTAAGAGGCTCTCTCTATTATGAAAGCTAATTAGCCACAGACATCCAATAAATTCTCCCCAAAACACACATGCACAGTATTTTAAACAATTTAACTAAAAAAACATTTCTTAGCAGCTGAGTTAGTATTTCGGACATCACCACTTCCTTGGGTTTTTTATTGTTTTCCAGCAGTAACTCAAGTAGACATGATCTGGATTTTTTAATTTAAAAAATAAGCCCTTAAAATTCATCATTTGAGGTTTCTTTGCATGGCATAGCAAGTGCACAAAACTCTCTTCCTCTTTTTTGGTAAATCACTCCATTTTGAGATGTGGCTTTAAAAGCTTGTGAATACAAGTAAATCTATCTCCACTTGTATTTTGACCTTCAAAATTAGTATTTCCAGAACAAATGTTAGAGTTATACCATAAATATCTGAACAAAGGGAGCTAACCTTAATTTTTGCAGCAGTAGACACAGCTGCTATAATTCTTAGAACAAAAAAAGTGTTTGCAGATTGGCGAGTCATTTATGCCCTTCATTTAATGGATGTCTCTTCATGACAGCAAGTTTTGTTCTTTACATAGGATATAGTTTGACTCTAGTTCCAGTCATCCATAGAACTAATCTGGGTGTGCGCCCTCACACACACGCACACAGCCAGATTTCACCATTGCAACACAGTTTGAACATATGGCACCAATGGCCATCATCGTCTTATCAACTGTCTCGCTATAACTTCTGATGGCAGTAGATCTTCATACTTGTCCACTGCTCATACCCAAGTTGTACAAGCAGTAAAACACAGAGGAAATCACTAAGGCCAGTTTTCTGGCCTGGTATTTTTGTTCCGTCTGTGATATTACTGTGAAATGAATGGTTACTACTACCAAAGTATTAGCTTTAGCCTTGCATTCTAATATAAAAATTAACAGCAGACTTACAGCTTTTCAGTAAACCACAGAAGAGACAGTGTTAATGAAACAACTTGAGTAGATTCAAATCCAAAAATCCAAACAATAAAAGGATGGAAGGATTTCATGTACACAGATACATTTATATAGCAATATCTATTCAGATAACATTATGGCTAGGGACAGACATTCAAAAAGCCTGAGCCTGAATTGATTCAATTTTTGCTGGTTAGTCTAACCTGACTAGGCTAAATCAGTTTGTAACTGAACAGACATGATCAGACACCCCAGAAATACAGGCACATGCCTGCAGTGGCTCAGGCTAGAAGCCAGAGGGTGCTAGAGCAGCCCTCCCTTCCCTTCCAAAGTGCTGAGCTGAGAGGCGCGTGGCGAGGCCCTGGCAAGACACTCTGATTAGGGAAGGGTTCCCCTCCCCCGACCAGTCCAGCAGGGAATTGATAACACAGTGTTTATAACACCATTAAGAAAACAACAGAGACACATTACCAGCTACCTGTTGATTCTGCCTTTGTCCTGTCTGCCACA